CACGTGAGCGCACCTGGGCTGTGCTCGCTCGCGGGCTGGGTGGTCTGGCCTAGCCGCGTGATGGAGTTAACCCTGCCGGGGTCTTAACGCCTAGGCTTTGCGAAGGAGCCGGGTTGCAGATGCCGTGTTTCGGATGGCTGGTGCCTGTAACTGTGCGCGGAGGGGCGTTGAAAGCGAGCCCGGGGCAGGCTCTGAAAAAGCGCTTTGTGAAAGTGCCCGTAGCGTCGCTCGGAGGGACGCAGCGGGGAAGCCGCCGTCGGAGCGGGAAGGCTCGAAGGAGGACCGCGTCTCCGCTCGCGGTGGGTTGCTCTCCCACGACCTTGCGCGGGTCACGGTGTCTCTCTCAGCCTGGCCCACATGTGCAGGTTTGGAACAAAGTCAGACGGCATCGCGCTGGAGATTGCGATGACGCAATGTTTGGCAGCCTCCTTTGAAGCCCTCGCTTTTGATATCTTGGGACTGTGTGAGAAGCTCAGTGTCTCCCAAGACCCAGCTCTCGGGGCCGCAGAGGAGAGCGTTTTCAGGATGACCACGTTGCATGGGAAAGGCTTAACGAGGAGGCAAAACGAAAGGAACGGTGAATGCATTTGTTACTGATCTATTAAATCTCTCCTGTGATTTTTTTTTTTTTTTTGAGTCCCTCCTTGTGGTTTTTGCATGCCTGGCAATTCAGAGGTTTTTCATGCTGGGGAAGAAACTATAATAGGCGGATTCAGAAGGGATTTGGTTCCTCATGTTATGAGCTAAATACAGAGAGGTCTGACAGGAGGAACAAGTTTAGTCTGTGGATGAAGATGACTTTCAGAGCTTCGGGTGAGGAGCTGAGAGACTCTGGAGGCTCTGATATCACCCCCCTGAAAAGCAGGTCCCCTGCCACTTTCTGAGGAGGAGACCCAAGACATCGTGAAGATTGGGATATTTACCTAAGGGGGAACTCGGCTTGAATAACGCCAAATCAGGCTTGCAAAAAACAGCTTCTGACTCAATGATTGTGACGCACCGTAGCAGGTTAATCATTGATGGCGGCTGAAGTCCTGCAAGAAGCATTACGTTTTAAAGGACACTTTTCAAAAATCCCTTTGTGCCTCCTTTTCTTTGAGCCTTTTTATGCACAGACTTGTCTGTTAGTAGGAGCAGTGAACAGCCTCTTGCCCAATGGGGCCTCTAAGTATTATCCTAAGGCACAGAAAACCAAGAAACATCGCAATTGCTCAGCGGTTCCCAAGGTGCTGCGTTGCTGAGATCTTTCTCCTGAATTCTCCCAGAGCGAAAAAAGCACCGCAGAACTCGGCAGACCCTCTTAGGAGATGGTATGGGGTTGGAGAAGCCCCTCAAGGTGGCACCTTTCTCTGTGGGGCATGGGCAGGCTCGTGTGGGCTTATGCAGCAGAGCCTGCCTCCGACCTGGCTGGGCACGTGCTGGCTTTGAACCCGGAGCCGGCGGCCATGTCAGCACAGCGCTGTCCTCGGAGGCTTCTTGGCTCGGGCGCCGCGGGGTGCCAGAGGAGGAGCAGCACAGCCTTTGGATAAGACATACCCCGTCCACGTGGCACGAGCATGGGTCTGTCTGCAGAGCCTGTGTAGACATACCCTTTACCCAGGTCCTTTGCTGGAAGGTCATGTTCCTCCTCTTTCTCTCTTGCTCGGCTCTGCCCTCCCATGTGCCGCGCAGCCACCGTTCAGCCTCGCGCCAGCGTTGCCTCGCGTAACGCCCCTGCAACAAACGGCCCGTGCCCAGTCACAGGGCTTCCCGGCACCTTACAATGACTGTTTTTCGTGTCGTGCCGTTGCACAGCTCTGATTCAGCTGCAAGATTTATAGCGCCCATATTCAGGGAACTTTTCTCCTGAGCTTAGCGCTGAGGTAGACACACATTTCTAAAACTGAGTAGGTTTGCAGGAGCATCTGAACACATGTTCAGCCGAATCTAGTCTTAGATGTTAAGGTGTCGTTTGCGTGAACAGCCCTGTGGTTCACCAGGAGGCCAGTAATGCATCAGGTTAGCTACAGCTTATGTTTTTATTCCAGTGCACGGATAGAAGCACATGTCCTGCCGGTGAAGCGTGCTGCGTTTTGTGCAGAGATCTGCTAGAGGGTTGGCAGCGATAGCCTCTCTGGGATAGCGTTCCCCAAGCATGACGTTGTACTGGAGACTGAGGCTTGCAGCAAGTGGAGTTGCTGGTTTTGAAGCCTCCGTTGGGTTGCAACTTCTGCTATTGTATTTCGATGGCAGCATGTTCTGACAATCTGCAGGCTCAGCTGGAGACAACCTGACCATACTTCATGTGTTAGTTCATAAGCTTCTGTAACACAATATTTGCTTGGACACGAGCACAGTAAGTCCACAAACAGATGCTAAAAAAATAAACATGGCTAGTCAGCCTTTGTCCCAACCCCTCGAGTCAATCAATATGTCCATTAATCTTTTATTCCAAAGCAAATCCCTCAAACTGTTACTATTTAGGAGTTGTTACTGCTATTTTTAATTTCTCCTGTTACTCGTGGGAGTTTTATCTGAGTAGGAGCTTAATCCAGCAGCATCTTCCAGAGCACAGACTTCCCCGACCCAGCTCCACAAAGGCACTGCTTGTTTCTGACACTGAAATGGGGCAAAGCCTTTCCCAGAGGAGCAATGTGGTGATCTTGCCTGAGGTGCTTTCATCTAGTATTGTGGCATAATTAGATGCAATGCTATTATGGTTTAGGGTTTAAATATGGGTAGTTGAAGTTCACGTGAGGATTCACGTTGTACTGTCCTCATCTGCTTCTCTTTGACTCAACCTAGACCCAGACTGACACTCTGAGAACAGATCTGGCTTTGTCTAATGGCTGATCAGGCTTGTTGAGGGC